ATTGATTTACACTGTACTGAGTCTTGTTTTTTATACTAATTATAATTTGCACAATTAAAAATCGTGAAATGTAAAGTAAATTTGAAATTTTCATTTTTTTACACTAACTATAATTTGCGTAACGAAGAACCGTGAAATCTACAATATATTTGAAATTTTCACCTTCTTTCGTTTTTTCTTTTTATACTAATTATAATTTGCACAATTGAAAATCGTAAAATGTAAATTAAATTTGAAATTTTTACTTTCTTTCGTTTTTTTTTTTATACTAAGTATAATTTGTACAACAAAAAATCATAAAATCTAAAATATATTTGAAATGTTCACCTTCTTTTCGTTTTTTTGTTAACACTATTTATAATTTGCACAAAAATCGCCAAACGTAAAATGCATTTGAAATTTTCACTTCTTTTATTTCTGTTAATACTGCAGCGATAATCTGTTAACTGAAACTAACAGCCATCGACAAAATTATAAGCTTAAATAGTTAGGTTAATTACAGATTTAAAAACTAAGAGTACCCCAACTTTTAATTTTGTTTTTTTAATTTAGTCGAGCGAAATTACTCTGCGAATTAATTTGACCTTCTTATTAGAAGGAGGCATTAATTATCTGAACGAGCAGTTCAGCTGAACTGAAGATGCGCTTCAAAAACTAAATAAAATTTGCAAAGTTGGTACTAAAAATTTAAAGTAGAACGAATACTATGTGTCACAAGTTAATTTATGAAAATTTACTAACAAGGTAATTGTAAAATATTTTGGGATTTATTTAGCAATGTAGAAGGGATGCAAATATTTTTTGCATAAAGTTTGGAGGTACAGAAATTTGGATGTAATTGGAGAATATAAAAGAAAATGAGAAGACAAAAATTTTAAAGAAAATAACACTTTTTTCAGGTTATATTTCTCAGAGGTAGACACTGAGAAATGTAGAGATTTATGGACTATAGTAATTTGGAGATATAAATATTTAGAAATATGAAAATGGGGAAATGTTGATTTGGAAACATTGATACTAGCAATATTTAAATTGGGTTAACACTAGATTTACGGAACCCGTCAAAATGACGGATAATAGGTCTATTTTAGATGACAGAATTTGTTAAGAAATTTTTGTAAAAATGTCAACTTTCAGCAAAAGAATCAATGTCTTAGGTAGTTCACATATCATCTGCAATTTATTTATTTTTCTACTTTAGGTAAATTTAAATAAAAGTGACCATCAAACGTCCGTAAATCTAGTGTTAAATAGGAATTTGGAGATCTCACTTGAGAATATACAAACTTCAGGAGACATTTGCAAATACACAAGAAAAGATTTATATGTTAGTAATCTGATACATGATGATGTGGGAATATAGAAATTTGAAGCACGCAACATATAACATGAAATGAGATTTGAAACATATAATGAAACATGGACTTAAAACATGTAAATTGTGAATACTTTTGGACATATACTAATTTATGAACATGAAAATTAGGAGATATAGAGATTTGGAAACTAATATTCTCTATACAAAAATGAATTATGTTGAGAAACACTGAGTATTTCTAGAGTAATAGTGAAAACAATAGATACACATATTGAACACCGTTTGATCATAACGTCGTGGGTACTTTTCCGTCAATTTATTAATAACAAAATTTCTTCAAAAATCAAAATTTCATTAAGTTACACGAATTAAGTTCTACCTTCCTCCACATTTTTCTTCTATCTACCCAAATTCTATAACCCAATCTCGTAAACCCCGTACATCACTCGATATTTCGCCCTATACGACAGATTAAACGTATCCCAAAAGAACAAACAAGAGCTCCGTAATTTTTTTCCCTGATAGATAAATTCATGTTGGAAATTTCCGAATCTTATCGCATGTGATTTCGCTTTTATAGGTGCAGCGTCAATTATGAACGTCCCTAGGCTAATAAATCCCGAATGGTCCTAATGAAACGGCAAACTGCGTGACTCGTTCTCGTCGTTTTCGCGGTCCCGAATCGCTCGATGGTTACGCGATGAAATCTCGTAACGTTCGTGTCAAGATTTGCATAATTCGCTGTGATAATTAAGCGATCTGCATATTACGTTCACCGCCATGTCAGTTTCTCTTTTAAGGGCAAATAGTCCCTGGCACGATCCTAAAGTTCCCCTTCTGTGCCCACAATTTCTCCCCGTATTTCGCTATTAGATTAGAGCGTTGTAACGAGTAATATTCACGTAACAGCCTCGTATCTGTCCCCTCGTTTGCCCCTAGTGTTTCAGCACCAAGCAACCAGGGCTAGTGATTTCGCACACGCATGACACGGAACGGAAATCTCTCGTTGATATTGGAAAACACACACGATGCTCTCCTCTCCCTCTTTTTTTCGTTATTCCCTTGTACCGATGGACGTCGAAACAATTGCCGGATACGCCGGAAAATATCGGGTGTATATGGACTTTCAACGTTCCTCGTACTTCCATGCACTCGTTTCTTTGTAATCACTGTAAAACGAATCGCGCTGCGAGCACCGTTACGGAGTTCTTCAATTTTATATCCTTTGTATTCCGTACACAATTTTTGATACGTTGAGTTTGTTAAAGCGGTATTGGAAAACTAAGTGGAATCTCGAAAGTTATTAATATTTTCAGAAAATCGTTCTGCTGGGGAATAAGCATTGTTTTTCTTCCTTTGTGAGTTGCATTTTAAGATAAATGTGTTGTAATATAATTCTTTATTAATAGAATACGTAAAAAAAGAAATACACAAATAGAACTCTAATAAGTATAATAAAACAAACTTATAATACTGTATGAATCAGATAATGTCAAACAGATAAAATAAACTTATAGCAGGAAAAAATTACAGCAATCTCCTTTATTACTACCTAAATGTGGCTTTTAACCCTTTGCACTATTTTGGCCAGTCTGACTCGTGACGCACTCGTACTTCGGCCGTGATCAATTTTACTCGAATTTTTAATACGTTTCAATTTGGAGTTCACGTTCAATCATAATTTGCATAGTCAACAATTGAATAATAACATATTGAGATAACATTTCAATTTTTTTGTCTATTTTAACCCTTCGCACTCGAGGATAATTTTATTGTTTGCAAACAGCAACTTTAAAATATTAATTAAAATGTGAAATGAGTTCTTTTGAGGTTATTATTTCTCTATTAACAGTGTTGTCTATTTTACTATGTTTGTACATCACATGAGCACTATTATAGAATTAATTAAATAATGCTTATTTCAAATTGTTGTATTAAATCGAATGGTGCCTGAGAGGCGCCTCTCGAGCGCAAAGGGTTAATATTATAACTTAACCCCTTCCCGTGCTTTGACGAGTCTCACTCGTAACGCACTCACAACTCAAATGTGATTAATGTTACTCAAATTTTGAATACTCTTTAACTTGAAGTTTAGATCCAACTATAATTTGCGTTGTCAAGGATCCCTGAATATAAAATACTTAGAACATTTTAATTTTCTTTGTTCGTTTTAATGTTATAGTCCTGAATGGTTAGTCTTGACTGACGTACCTCATAAATAAATGGCACGACAAGGGGTTAATTGAGCAGTTCTGTCTGACGCAGCTGACAAATAAGTCATAGTGCAAAGTTAATAATAATATTAATTATAATATAAGTTAATAATATAAGTTAATAATAATATTATAATAATATTTTATTAATAATAGAAATGTTGCATTATGGAAGGTAAAAGTGAATTTGTGCGACAAGAAAGTGCACTTAAAAATAAATCTGAAGAGGTTAAACGTAAGGTAAGCATGGTCGAAGTTGAGGGAACGGCGGGAATAAATGCGCATAGAATTAAGACAGTAAATGGAGTTGAGAATAATATAAACGACGGGAGTGCGTTGCAGATTCATGGATGGCCATTCTACGTAGCTGGGTAAAGCGGTACAGGGTGGACAGCCGTAGTAATGACTGTCGTGCCTGCAAACACCCTGTGCCTGCAATCTAATGACTGACCAAACAGAAATCTGCATAACACTTGGCGAAGTGTGGGTCGCCTCCTTCTCCGTCGTTGAATCCTCCCTTGGCCCCCTCCGTCAAACCGCCAAACTTTCTCGGCTTTGGGTCCGACCAGGAATTCCCAGTTGTAATTGAATTGTCAGCGAGTTTCGTCCGGGATTCCACCTGCTGATTGGGGAAAGTTCGCAAAGCCGCTTGCCGAACTTGACCATACATTCCTCTTCCACCCAGGACCCTGTTGTTAGCGTCCCGCAGTCGTTCATTGACGTTTATCGACATATCGAACTTCCGGACACTTGTTTATTAGCATTACGCTTAATGGTACGGCTTGACGGCTAACGATGAAACATCGGTTTAGTAGCTGCCAATGATCGATGAGAGGATACAGTGACAGAGCGAGAATTACGGAACATGTTTGATGGCAATTTACCTCATCCCGTTTCGACTTCCACGCTCGATCCGCTGATACTCTATCATGAATTTTGCTTTCGGAGTTACGTTTTAACGTTTCGTTACAGGTTCTTGATAAACTGACTTTTCTGGATAAACTGCTTTGTATATGGAAAATAAACATCGCTTGCAAGATTCGATATTCATGAAATTTACGTGTTTCATTTTTTAAGAGGTAATATCATTACTCAATTAGATTTACTTTTGTTGTGATTGGAATACTAAGAATGTTTAAATTAGAATATGTGGAGTTCCACAGTCAATTATTTCTCCATGTGTGCCTTGAATAACTGTAGCTTCTTGACAAACTATTATATATTCTTTGTGCGTTTGTCATGACAAAGAATGTACAACCATGATGTCATAATAATATGCCGCAATTTTTTGTCGCAAAAATGCACGTGAAATTGAGGTTAAAGTACTTTTGTCGTACTTTACATTGTAAAATTAGATAGAGCATAAACTGTCCTTTCTTCATTTATTCGTGTGCTTGATACTAAAATTCGCATACTGTGATGCACTTTGTAGAAATAGAAAAAGTACATAGTGGCATGAAAATACTCACCGGCATAGTTTGGCTACCGTGTAAAGAATTAATCGCCGCTAGCGCTTCTTGATGTGACGAGAGTTTTACGAATGCACAACCTGAAAGCAAAAGAGACATTTCATTAATTTACTGTTATCTACTGAGTTATCAAATTATTTTATTCTTGTAAGGGGTTAATTATATGTAGATTTGTATAGGTTAGGTTAGTATGTTTTCATAACCTTTAAAGTATGAATACATAAGTATACAATGAAACAATGACATGATTTTCAAATTATTTTTTACTGAAATTCTCAAGTGCATAAATTTTTAGAAAATGTAAATGTACAAATTCTTGCATTCTTAAGAATATAAACTTTCATATTCCTAGATTCGCGAATTAGGTGATTCTCAGAAATTCTAAAATTCACAAATTGCTAAAATCCCAAATTTCTAGCTCGTGAAATTCCCAAATCCCCAAATTTCTAGGTGTTGAAATTCCAAGATTTCCAAATTCTTAGCTGCTAAAATCCCAAAATCCCCAAATTTCTAGGTATTGAAATTCCAAGACCACCAAATGCTTACTTTCCGAAATTCCGAAATCCCCAAATTTCTAAGTATTGAAATTCCAATATTCCCAAATTTCTAGTTCTTGAATTTCCCAAATCCCCGAATTTCTAAATCTCAAAATCTCAACATCTCAAACTCTAGGTCTTGAAATCCCAAGATTTCCAAACATTTAATCTAACAACCCTTCAAAATGTCCAATCCTTAAAAATCCCTAAAAATGAACAAACAAGAGGATTCTGCTCTTTATCTACCATATGTCCCCTAAATAAATCAGATTTGCTATCGAATGTATTTGCACGATGCATCAATCATTAATACAGTTCATAATTAAATTTCAAGCCTTCAATTTTACCAAAAACAATAATGCACCTGTGCAATACATCATCACATAATAAAATTTGCAACGAAATTCAGACCTTCAAATTTGATAAAAAGAGAGATGTCGAAAATAAATCCTAATAAACGAAAATAAGTCCGAATTTTTTGATCGGAGAAGGTAAAATAAAACGACAGTTTTTGTTTCGTTTGTCCACAGGAACGAAAATATCGCGCGAACGATTCGATACTTGAAGAAGACGCGTAAATCGTTTTATCTTCAAGAAGGACACGGAGTAAGGGTAAAAAGGAGTTCCCTTTCCGCCATTGTCACAGAGTCGAGACCATCCCCAACGATGATGGAACGATTAATCGCCCCTTCTCCCTGCCACGTGCGCTTATCGTTATAGTTAGATGGAGACGCGAAGACAAAGAACTCGAGGGTGCTTTGAAAAATTGACGCGCCAACGGAGCGCAACGTGCACTTAATAAAAGATGTTTACCACGAACGGAGAAACGCTCCGTAATCCGGGACACCACTTCCGGTTTCGAGCAATAACGATGCGTATCACGGCCAAACGATACTGAGAAATTACCCTCGGTAATAGTTCGATACGCAATCGATTACCGACACCTAGAAATCTGACGAGTTACATTTTCTTTCTTGCTGATTATTTCTTCTCTTACTAATTATTAATTACAGTATTTTCGTTAGGTTAGGTTAAGTTAGGTTACCATTTGTCAGGGTAAAAATTGCGTCAGTGTAATTTTCTAACGAATATATATTATAAAAATTGTTAAGAATTTGTTCGTTTGCCTAATGAGATGTTTGTATTAATTTCTTGGAACCATGAGCAGTAAACGTGTACAAAATATTGTGAATATGTCAAGATCAGTGAGAAACAAAAATCATATAATAGAATTTTCAATCGTTTTAATATGGCAGTCAACTGTGAGAATAAAATGTAAAGGTTAATACAAAAATCTTATTAATCTAAAATTCAATTGGATGTAGTTGAAAATAAATAAAACGTATATGGCCAACATACGTCTTTATACAAAATGGTGGTCTGCAATGGTTAGCTACTTAAATGTTTATAGTATTTTTGTTTGAACGTTTTTAACATCAGTTCTTACTATTTGCAAACATAACCTATATATTCTTTTCATATTTTGTATTAATAAAAGTAACATTTACATTTGAACGTGTATGTGAGTATCACATCATTCTACGATGAATTTCTTGAATTTTTATAAGGCTTATAACATTTATTTTCTTTTTCCTTATAAACATAACCTATAAACATATTCTTGCTCTTTATAAACATAACCTATAAACATATTCTTGCTCTTTATAAACATAACCTATAAATATATTCTTGTTCCTTATAAACATAAGAAACGTTCAACCAAAGATCGTAACATCTTCATCACTGTCTGCAGGTGATAAAAGCAAGCCAAGAGCCATTAACATTCATAAGAATTATTAAACGTTTTCAGATTTTCAGCGACTGAGCACGTTCAGAAATATAAATGAGGTTCGATTACGCCGATCGAGGTAGGTTGGGGCAGGATTGAAAGGAATTAGAGCGAAAAGAGGGCACTCATCTCCATACCTGCTGGAGTATGACGAGATAACGTTCAAGTCTATCCTTGTTCCAGGACTTTTTTTTGAAGAACTCTCGGTAGTCCTTCGCTTCGACGTCTGCCTTTCAATGCGAAATCGTTGTTCGAGTGACACCGGGGAGACAATATTAGTCTCCTGGTCGATATTTCGATTTTTTAAGTTATAACGAAGACCTTGACACGTTCTCTGATTTATTCTGTCAATATCGATAGCTATGAATATTTAATTTTTCAAGAATTAATCTTATATGAATTTTGATTTATTTAGCAGCAAGGAAAACCTTCATTCATTTATTAATTTTAGTCCATGTAATTTTTGTGTAATTCGTAAGTTGATTATTTTTATTGCAATTAAAATGACATGTTCTGTTAAAAATGTGTGATCATAATTAGATCACATATAAATGTAATTAAATATGATTATGATTATGAATGAAATATATGACATTATATTATAATAAATATATGATATCATTTTAATAAAAAATAATTATGATTAAAATCATAACATGATTATCTAACAACAAACATCATAAAACAATAATAATCTAATAATACTAATCATAAAATGCTTATCTAATATTCTTGTTTGTCTGACATATGAAAGATCATTCTCCTGAAGATATGATTGCTCAAAGTTATTTGAACTCAGTAATTCACTGGTACTTTGAAGGATTATTTTCATACACGCAATTTGCATGCATTGCCATGCATGCACATTTTGCCTCTATAGGAGTTTCATAATAAAACTGTATGCTTCCAATGCATAAATTATATTTTATTATTCCAACCTGACCGATTCAAGTAACAAAATTCTTTTAAACCATAGAACTATTAAAATTATGCTTAAAGTTGACTTTGATCAATTTGTTTCCAGTGCAGATTGATTGTCTTGACCCGAGTTCTTTACACTGGCGACAAATGAAAGACAAACAGCGAGGTCTAATCTGAAGCGAACCGCATTTTAAAATATTACTCCGCCCCTAACCTAATTCTGGCTTCATCTTTAAATCTCGCGCCCGCGTTATCCTTAATCAGAAATATTACCGGCGAAAAAAACGAACAGGGAACAGCACTCGAATTAACTAGATCGTTCAACGGACGACACGCTTAACCGACGTTCCATTTTTATCGAGCGTGAGAATCGCCGACATTTTGAACTGCGTCTACAGAAGTCGACGAATTTCACGAAAGAATTCTCGAAATCGGAGGTAAAAGCGATCCGGTGGACAAGATTTTCTCGCGATTCAACCCCTGTCGTTCGTCGACATCGCAAGAATTTGTCCGAGGCTGCCGGGGTTGTTCTGACCCGTTCCGCTATTTGTTCTTGTGCAAGCGAAATCTCCGACGGAGCTCTCGAAGGCGATGCGCTCTTGAGATTTTTCCCCGATGCTTCGAAAGCAGACGGGGAGTAAGGTCGCGTGGAAATAAAAGACTCGAATTTCTCGAAAGTTCGCGTATTTCTATACATACAGCGTCTCTATGTACACTCTTTCCCTTTCGCGTGCACATACGTACGTCGTTAGCCAAAAGCTGTAAATATAACGGGTGTTCTTTTGTACAGAAACTCAATTCTATTATAAAAAGTTAATAATTGTTTTATTAAAAAATGTTGACACGATTTAAAAGTATATTGTATCAAGAGGGTAGTCTTTATAATTTTTATAATTTGTATAAAGTTTGTAATTTGTATAATTTTTATAATTTGTATAATATGTATAGATTTTATAATATCTATAATTTGTTTAGACGTTATAAAATTTATAATTTATATAGCAGGTGCATTTAAATCTGCAGTTAGTGTAATAATATATTTTTTTTTATGAAATTTTTGTAAATTATAAGAATGTTAGAAGCTTTGCTCTTTGAATACAATATATGTGTAAGGCATGTTTGAAATTATTTGAGAGATCAATGTTATAAGAAATGTTAGCATATTAACTAAATAAAATCTGTTTTGAACAAATAATTTTATTATTCAAAAATTTATTTTTACTATTCTTACTTATCGTATTTGAAATTTGCTTTAAATATTTTCTTTTAAATTTTAAGCCTAATGGTATACAAATATACTAAATATTTTGGTATACCTACTTCAAATTTATATTGTTTATATACAAATAAAAAATTTAATTTAATCTAACTTTTATTTTATAATTGAACATTATTCTTGTTGAAACTTCAAATGTAATCTGAGCAAACTTGAGATATAATTTACACACTCAAAATTCTTGTTTAAATTTTAAGTCTAACACAACTGGTTACACAATGTTACCAAAACTATTTATTCCCGTTCAAACTTCAATCTAATTCAATCAACCCCTAAACAGGAATAATGTAACTTAAGATTCTAACCTAATCTAATTTTGCACAAAATTTAATTATTCGAAATTTGATCTTGTTTAAACATCAAGTCTAACTTGCCTTAACTACACAACGTTATCATTTAAATCTTATTCTTGTCGAAATTTCAAGTTTAACCTAATCCTAAATATAGTCATTTCACCTTCATGCATTTACAGGGAGTATAAACTTTGCACTCCGTAATTTCTATCACCTACCAACTTCATTTACAAAATAGATAAGAAAGTCCTTAATAAAATATATT